ATAAGATTCAAGACTGGGGGCGGAGGGGACGGAAAATACAGGAGTTACACCGGATTGTTGAAAGCAAACTTACCTCCTGTTCAGGACACTTATTTTTGGGTCCTCCCAAGGCTGTCGAGTTATGTATATGCTGTTTTTACTTCTTTGCAAATAGAAAATAAAGAGGTCCAATTTCAAACAAAAGCGAAAGAAAGCAAACGCAATCCCTGTGCGCTCTGTGCTCCTGCCGCCCCGTCCCCGGGGTCTTCTGCGCGCTCGGGCTGCGGGGCCGAAGCCCGGCGGGGCTCGGGGCTTGGGGCGGGGGAGACCCCTCCCGCTTCAGCGGAGCCCGCTCCCAGGGCTTGGCGAAGACTCGGCCCGGGGCGCCAGACCCAGGGTATAGGGCCCTCACCGCGGCGCGCGCAGAAGCACCTTGAGCCGCGGCCGGGCGGAGCGCCGCACACCGGGCCGAGGGGGCTCGGCCCTGGCGCCCGCACCTCCCCTCCTGCCGGCGGCCCAGGGCTCCTCCGTGGCCAGAGGGCCTGGGAGCCAGGTACCGGCGACCGGCTTCTTGCGCGACCCGCCGCCGCCCGGGGCGCCCCATCCAGAGGTGTTCCCAAATTCCGCTTGCTCCCGCACCTTGGGGAGTGGATGCAGAATCCTTGTAGCTGAGATGAATAATCAAATATTTGTAAGACTTCCTGCAAGACGCTTCACAATAGAAATATACTTATCTGGTCGGAAATTTGCCAAAAAGCCATAAATAATGGAGACAGCTGTGATTAACCTTCCAGAAACCGTACCAGAATTCGCAATTAAACATTTAATTGAATGGTCTCATTTGGCCCGCCCTCCCCCCGTCCGGGAGAGGAGGAGGTTTGATTGAGACAAACCCCGATCCCACCCGGCTGGGGAGCCTGCGAGGACCGGGCCCGGGGGCTCCTCGGGGGGTGACTCCCGACCCGCGCGGTTTCTGGAGGTCTCAAGTTCCCTACTTTATTATTGCGCGCTCCGCCGGGCCAGAGTGATTGAAGCTCTAACTCCCCTGGGCTTTACGACTTCTAAACTCTCCCGGGATGGGGAAAGCACAGCGCGCAGGTGAGCGCAGGCACATCTTGCTCCAATCTACTGGGGCGAGTGCCACCCACTGGCGTTCTCCTGGGGGCGGGGGCCAGGTCCCCGGTCCCCCGAGGCTCAGGGGCCACAGGTGGACCCGCTGGGCCGAAGCGAACAGCCTCGGCTGGGTCCAGCCTGTAAAGCTGACGATGCGACCGGGCCCAGCCGGAGCGTAGGTAACCTTTGCTCCCGGGCTTTAAAGCCCAGAATTGGAGCCAAAACGGAAAAGGCCGCCCGAGGCCCGAGAGCGGCGACATTTGAACGCCCAGCGCCGTTGCCCAACTGAACTTCCCGCTCTCGGCGGCAGCTCGCTGGCCCGGAGCTCTACGCCGCTCGTCCTTCCTGAAGCCCAGCACGATCTCCGGGCCACGGATTCCCCCGAGTTCCGGCACCTCCCTCGCTCCAGGCAGTCGGGGCGGGGGGGGGGGGAGCCTCGAACCCTGAACCTAGGTCCGGAACTCGCCTCCTCTACCATTTTTCCTTCCTTCCTTCCCCAGAAAAGAAGCCACCTGGGCCAGTTCTTCCAGAGCTCCTTGCCAAGCTTTCTGAATTCTTGGGTCTCAATATTCTGGGAAGGGATTACTCTTCACTACCCCTCTTCTTCCATTTCCGTCTCCCTGCTCCCACACCCGGAACCCAGAGGTTTCCCGCCTTCCACATGACACCCCCGCCTTAAAGATCCTGTTTCCCACTGAGGAAACTCTCTGCCTTTCTGAACTCCTGCTCCTCCGCTCACCCCCTGACCCACTCTCTCACCAGCCCTTGACCTTATCGACCGGGCGGTGCCCCGATCCAAAAGATGGACTCACCTAGCACTCTAGCCTTTCCGGCGTGATTTCTGCGAGGCGCCAAACTTGCTTTATAAATTGAACCACTCCCCCACAGCACTCCACATCTGGTTCCCAATGGAGTATTTCTCTGTGCCCTTTTTTGCTCCTATTACTGCTCTCAGCCTGACTCCATTTATCAGCATCTTCCATGCACAGTCTCCATCAACAAGGTGCTAGCCTGTAATTGGTCACACAATCCTCCTTATTGCACCGAATGCCAGTATCTTGAGGAAAGTTTACCTTTACATCAATCAGACCCATATTTAAAAGCCTCTAATCTTCCCTACATCAGCTTAATAAACTCTCTGAATTTCCTGCTTTTATCACAAGTCCATTGGGACTCCTCTGCAAATAGTTTATTATTCATTCATTGTTTCCCATCTCTAGCATGCTGCTATTCAAGCAAATTCCCTTGCTCTCCTTGGTGAATACTTGTATGGGAAAACACAGCTAACTAAATGTGTGGCAACTTAGGCCCTCCCCCAGACAGCAGTGGCAGAATCTCACATTTTTTAAGAGAACAATCTTAGACAATGTCTTGCTTAAAGCTAGTCTTTGCAGCTCTGACAAGACTAAGCTTTAAAGCTATTTCATATTCAAAACTGAAAGGCTGATTTCTGTTACAAAACCCATTAAAAATTAAAGTTCGTTGGGAATACTGCCACAGGGACTCTGAATTTCCCAGAACTGTGTAGCCTTTCAATATGTATTAAATTTTGTGGTAGAGCAGCCATAAACTTCTCCATCTCTGAGAATCTCTTTCCTGCTTCAGTTACATAGAGCTACCCAAATTATTAGATAAATCTGCTGAGAAAATCTTATTCTAAGGTGAATCTACTTAAATAACTAACTCCCACTTTCCACCTGTGGCCTCTTTTATTGAACTGACTTTTTTACTACACAATTGGGTATCTCACTTTAAAAGTTCAGTAAGCATAAAATACACTTGTAATTGTTACAGGTAATTTAATTTACAAGGAAATCCCTACTGCATTACAGGAGATGTTTAAAGATGACCTGGGAGCCAGTAAAATTGATATTTATTAATGTAACTAACCAACCGTAGATCTGACACCTCACCAGGGACCATCATAATAAGGCTTTAGAGTCAAACTTGCCTCTTGGAAACCCACACGGAAAACGATGTGCCCCTTTGGGTAGCTAGCAACAAACTACAAAAGAGCTTCTGATGTTTTATACAGCAGTACACACAGATATGGGGCTTCCCAGGTGTCTTAGTGGTAAAGAATCTGCCTGCCAATGCAGGAGACTCGGGTTCGATCCCTGGGTCTGAAAGATCCCCTGGAGAAGGAAATGGTGACCCACACAGTATTCTTGCCTGGAGAATCCCATGGAGAGAGGAGCCTGGTGTGCTATATAGTCTATGGGGTGAAAGAGTCATATGCAACTTAGCGACTAAACAACATCAACACATAGCTACAGATATCCTAAATACACAATAACCACTTTGATCAGAATAATTTCCCAATATTCAAAAACACACACTCATATAAATATCCAAAAAGGAATCAGATTTTTGATCTATGGTTGGCCAGGGAAGAAGTGACTGTAATTAGATAGGCAGATGTTTCCATCTGTAGCATTAAAATACTGCAATCTGTCAAAAGCAAAAATTCAAAGCTAATTAACAACCATAATGAAAATTTTCAAATTCAAGAAACTGTTATTTCCTTTTTAAAAAGGCAAAACCCAATATTCTGAATCAATCAAAAGTTTTCAAAAGTAAGACTTTTGGAAGTTTAGCCCCCTATCCAGTGGCCAACCAGAAGGTAAAAGGAAATATCTGTATTTCTGCTTGGGAGGGAAGAATCTAAGTTAAGGGAACAAACCCTCATAAGACTCTAACCCTGATTATTAAAACCGTTTCTGGGCATTTGAGAGGTAAAGCTGGTCCTCATTAACCCTAAATATCTCTTCCTTTATCTCTAAGTTTGCAGCACCATTTCCTAAATCCTGAAGCAGAATAGTCTCTTTAACGTCTGTGCTAGCATCACCTTGACTTTCAGGAAGTAAAATATAAATGTGGCCCAATCTTCCAACCTCCTCCCATTTTCTTTCAGTAATCGCCAGCTTTGCTGCCAGCCTCCCGTTTCTAATGGGGGCGGGGGGGAGAAATTAGCTTTCAGAATTCAGCCATCAGCTCAGCTGAAATACCTACAGTGGCCTCTGGCCATCCAAGCAGCCCATGGCTTTTTAATAGAAGGCATCGACTTCTCTATCCAACGACCAAAGATGCCCCCCTCCGACACATTTTTCCTTACCAGGCCCTACCTGAGCTAAGATGGCAACTTAGTAAGAGTGTTGCCCTCTTTCAAAACAATTCCTGGACAAAGGATATACCTTTGGGTTCTTTTAACTTGGTGGGACAAGGAAACAGAAACCCAATGCCAGAGATTCTTCAAGAGTAGTGGAATCACTGGTAGGCTGGCAGCTTTCTGAGTCCAAGTGAGGGCTGGTCTAGGAAAAGAATTATCCCAAGCTGCCAAAGGGTTAAATATTTGTGAAGGGTAAAACCTGAGCCTCCCGTTTTTTTGTGCTCGCCCGGGGGCCTGCTAGAGATTCAGTATCTCTCGGTTATTTCCTGCGATCACTAAAGCCAGTTTTCAAGAAAACAAGTCGCAGGGGTTTGAAATGTCACACCAAGTGACCTGGGCACGGCGTATCCAGGGGCCATTCCCAGCCCCCTCCCACCCGAGCCAGCCCCCGCCCCCTGCATTTCGGGTCTGGAAAGAAAATAAACCAAGGACACGCCAGACTGGTTCTGGGTGGACTTATTTTCACTGGCAGCCGCGATCCTAGCGGGGGCTCGTTGTGGCTCCTTCAGTGTATCGCTTGCAGGTGATGCCAAATTCAGATAAGGAGCCGCCGCCCGGCCTTCTCCTCTGTCTAGACGGGGGAATTAATAAATGCAGCGAGATTGATCACGTCGCACATCCACTCTGGGGACAGCGCCGAGGATGAGCCGTCAAGGCCCCCCTTTTCGACCCCGGGGCCCGCGGGCTAGCCTCGTGGCTCGGTGGCAGGGCCCGCGTGGCAGGCGAGCGAGGGTTCTGGATGTGGGAGTTCGGGCATCCAGACCCGCGGGAAGAGAACCGCAAGCAGGTAGGGCCCGAGTGCACCGGGCCGAAGAGTCGGAGGACCTTGAAGAACTCCAGGTTGGGTTCGGCTCCGGGAGCTAAGGCAAGGTTGAGACGGAACCGCTCTCCTCAGCAAGCGGAACAGCCGACACTGGATCATCGCAGGTTTCCCGCCCAAACAGTTACCCCGCTACCCCGCGGGCTTCAGCAGCGAAACTCCAGGGATGAGGAACGAGCAGAGGGCGCGCCGGCTTCCGGGAGGGCCTGGGCGCTCGAGCGCTTCGGGGGCCTCGCGGGGCCGCAAGGGACGCACGGAGCGCAGAGACCGAGCCCCGCCCCCCTCGCGACGCCCAATCCCCGCCGGGCCCGCCCCCGGGCGGCGCGGGAGCACGCGGGCCAGCGGCGCGCGGGGCGCAGGCAAGAGCCGTGGGCCCTGGGCCGAGTGTCATTTTCGTTGAAAAGAACTCCAAGCTCCAACCTGCCTTCGTCCAGCCCTCACGCTGCGCCAACAGCACACAGGAGCAGCGTCGCATAGAGTTATTATTTTTTTATTAAGATCAAAATATTCGTCCCACTATGAACTTGCTGTCCTCACAATAAATAACAATAACTTACGTTTTGTCCGGCAAAGGCTCACACACTCTGTCCTCCGTCGACTGATAATTTAAAACATTTTCAAGGAAAGTCTCGTCTCTACTTTTTTCCGGCAATCATGCGCTTTGGGGATTGAGTGTCTGTTCCTTTGGATTGCCCCCCTCCTCTTCCCCGCTAGAGAGCGGGCGAAACCACCAGGGAGTGCGGGGCCGGCCCGGGGCAGGAGCCATGGTCCGCGTGGGCGGGAGCGGGACCCACCTCGCTCATGCTCCACGCACAGGTGGGTACGTGGACGGGGGCACCGCGGACCGAGGGAGAGGAGAGGGCAGAGCTAACGCTAGTCAACCCAAATTCTGGTTTTGTAAAAATAAAAGTCCTCGGAGCGGGGCTCTCCAGTCTGGTGGAAGCAGGTTGCGTCCAGGCGATTTTGGCTGTCCCGACCTCCTCTCTCAGTCCTTTCTCTTTTTAAATAACAATAATCATAATTACAAAGGCGAGAGAGTTTTCGGAGCTGGTATGGCCTGAGCATGGGTGAGTCTCATGCAGGGAGCATGCGAGGTCCGCGGGCTGGCGGGGAAGGGTCCCCCCTCACGTCTCCACGGGACTCGGCACCATGCTGTTGGGGGTGTCCGGGAGCTGCGAGGACAGGGAGGTCACGTCGCTGCCGGAAGAGTTGCCTAGGGAGCCGGACTCGGAGAAGGAGACCTGGGGCAGCGGAGACACAGGGAAGGAGCCGGTGAAGACATGCCCAAGCTGGTTTTCCTGGGCCACCAGCTCCCTAAGGTATCCTTGGGACAAGTAGCAGGCTGGGAGCATGCCCTGGGAGAAGTCAGCCCGGCCCCCAGGCGCACGCAGGAGTATTAGGGCAGGCGGGGACACGGTGGGTTAATCCCTGGACCTCTCCTCCTGGCGCCTTAATCCAGGGAGACCTGGTTTAGAACCAATTATGGGCCGGGTGCAGTTGCAGCCATCAACCTCCCCCTTCTCCTGGCCCCTCTTCCTCTCAGAGTCCTCCACCCCTTCCCACCTTGGCTAAGTGACTAAATCCACCCCACCTCCCCCGGAGTCCAGCCTTCCGGGAGGGTAGAGCCAGGTCCTCACCAGCTGCTGGAAGGCGGGTTGATCCAGGTCACTCTGGAGCGCGAACTCGCTGAGCGCTTTCCACGGCGGCTGGTACGTCTGCACTTCGACTGCACTGCCCTGCACGGCGCTCTCGTGGCGGATGGGGCTGCCCGCCACCAGGGGCGTCCCGGTCAGTCCCTGGAGGCTCTGCGGAACAAGCAGAAGAGGGAAGGCAGAAGAGTTAGGTCGTGCGTTTTCCGCCACCTTTGACACCGGGACCCCAGGCCCTGGCACATGATTTGGAACCTGAAACTGTTTGGGGAGGCATGCACTTGTCCGCAGCGGCCGAGTGAGCCCGCCTTCTCCACTGGAAGACACCCCGAGCCCCAAAACAGCCACCACGGGCCAGCCTCAGTGCTGGAAGCCAACACGACAAGGGAACAAAACGCGAGGGCTGCGTTCCCACCCCCTCTCCGGGTTTGCAGAGGGAAAGTGTTTCAACCGAGTCCCGCTGAGAGATGGACACACCCCTCCCCTACTTGCTGGAGCTTGAAACCAGGCTGCCTTGGGCTCCGAACTGAGCCCGGGACCCCAACTCCGGTCTACCGATGGGGCTGGGGAAGACCTGACCTCAGAAACAATAATTAAGGTGCCTTCCAACCCCAAGGTAAGTCTCGTTCTGAAAGCACAAAGACACACTATTTGGAGTAAACAATTCCGCCCTGGATCTCCCGAGAGCCGGCCCAGAAAAGGGCGTGCCGATGCCGCGGTGCGAACCTGAGGCTCCACCCGACCCGACCCTCCAGCTCCCTGACCCTCACCGTCTTGTCGTTGTGCTGTTGCTGCTGCAGTTGCTTCATGAGGATGGATTTCTTCTTGTCCTTGCACCGCTTGTTCTGGAACCAGACGCGGATGACCCGCGGGCTCAGGCCGGTCATCTCCACCAGCTGCTCCTTCATGAGCGCGTCGGGCCGCGGGTTGGCGGCGTAGCACGTCCGCAGAGTGTGCAGCTGCTTCTCGTTCAGCACGGTTCGCACGCGGGTTGTCTTCTCGGTCTGTTTGTGCACGTGCGGGCGCAGCGAGGGCTGCCGGCCGGATCCGGGGTCTGCGAGGGAGCGAGAGGTGAGCCAGCGGCCGCCACCCACTCCCCCTGCGCCCGGCCCCGCGGCGACCGAGCCCCGCAGGGCCCGATCTCGTTTGTCTTTTCTTCCGTTTATTTCGTTTTCTGGTTCGTCTGGTCTCCCTTTCCGTCTGTTCGCCCTACCCGGAGAAAGATGTGCACTTTCGTACCTTCTCTAGTTCCTACACCGGGCTCCCCGCCGCGATCCCCACAAAGCAAGCAGGGCCTGGGAGTTACGAGCAAGGCCTGTGCAGGACAGGAGTGGTTGCACCCTGCTGTGCCTCCTCCGCTTACCCGACCCTCGAATACCCGCAAGGGCTCCGCCAGACGAGGGAAGCCTTCCGGAAGAGACGCAGTTTCAGAAGAAGAGGAAGGAGGCGCGCCTGGGACGCTGGAAGGGGAAGGGACCCGAGCGCCGCGCTGCATCGGGACAAGGGGGCCTGTCTGCCTCTCCCGGGGATCCCCCAAGAGACCGTCTCCCTGATTCTGGGGCCGCTTGGACAGGGCCAGACCGTGTGTCATTAAGACCTGGTCTGGGGTCCGGAGTGGGTCTCCCAGCCCTGGGACTTCGGCCCCAGGGTCTCCTTTCTTAAGGCTCTAGTTTCCTGTCCAGCGGCCGTTTTCCCGGCCGGCGCGCAGCCGCTGGCACTCTCCTCACTTAGCCTTGGGTTCTCTCAACCCCAGGTTGGGTAGAGTCAGGTACTTAGGGCCCCATTCCGGTGGCCAGAAACCTTCAACAAACAAAAGGGAGACCAGGGTTCACTCAATACTGGCATCACACCCCCATCTGAACCAGGTCTACCTACCCTTGGATACAAGTCGCACTGTTTCAAATTATATCCCCTTCCAGGCATCTCTAGGTCTGGATAAATATTCACAATGTCCTCATTCGATACTAAAGAGAGGGCCAGTGAAAGCTCGATCCCTTCGAGCACACAGCACTCAGAGGCTCAGCCTGGTCTGCAGACTGATGCTTCAGGTCTGTGGCTACTTGCTGGTAACTGCTCAGCTGTAGTCACCATTCCCACCGGGTAACCATACACTTAGAACCAGTCTCTGGACATCTGATTATGACCTAGAGCATCCCCTGGGGTGTTTGCCATTATCCCTGAATCCACTGTGCTTCCACTTCTTTCCCATCAAGCAACGTTTGGCTACATTGTTCATCAGACTGGGCCTCAAAAGAAAAACGCAGACATTTCGCTCTGGTGGCTGATGAGCCTTCAGAGATGTACCGGTAGACTTCTGCCTGGCTGAGCCCAGCTCTAGGCTGGGAACTGTATTCCTTACACACATACCCCCAGGCAAACCTGTCTTTTCTCTCCGGCAACACACAGACTGCTTGAAATTCCCAGTACAAGGTCCTTAGAGTCATCACTTGAGATGCCCCATTGTCATTTACCGTCCTCCTCCTCCTCCTACTACCGTGTCCCACACATTCCTGAGAACACAAATCTCCACAATTCCGAACACTCATACACACAACCCCGGCTCACGTTTACCCACACACAATTTTCCGGGTCACACACGAACATACACTCCGTCGCGTTCTAGCAGAGTGCTGCACTCACTCAGAAACCCCCACAATGCTGGCAAACGGAAACACACCCAAGTGACAAGTTTTCGTCGGAGCACAAGCACCCGTCTAAGAACACACACACCCACATGTGCACAGCACCCCGGAGCTGGCGGGACAGTGCCAGCCGCAAACGGCTTACCTGGCAGATGCAGGCCGCGGGCGCCGGGAAGCGGGCCGGGGCTGCGCGGGCTGCCGGCCGCCGCGCGCTCGAGCAGGAGGCCGTGGTCGGCGCGGCAGAGCAGCTCGTGCTCCCGCAGCGAGAATTCATCTCCGGGCAGCAGCTGGCGGCTGCATACGGAGCAGCGGAAACACTCGATGTGGTAGACGCTGTCCCGTGCCCGCATCACCAGATCGCTGCTACTGAAGCCCACCTGGCACTTGGCGCACTTGATGCCGAAGAGCCTGCGGGCCCAAGGCACGGGCGTTGTCAGCATAGGGCCTGTGGCCGGCCTCGCCCGCCGGGCTGCTACCCGCCCAGGGCACGCGCGCCCAGGAGGCTTTGTGGTCGCGAGGGTGGCTGCGGGGCCCAGCCCTCGGGGGTTCCCAGGCCGGGAGACGCGTGGCGGCAAGCGTTCGGGGCGGGGGCACGCAGACGGCCTGCCATTCTCGAGCCCCGGCCCGAGCGGGCAGTGGCGCAGCCCGGACACTTGCGGGCCTCACCTGACGTAGTCCCGCTTGCAGTAGGTCTTCCCGTCTCTCACGAAGCACGTGCACGTCTCGTCCAGGTACTGGCTGCACTCGGCGCACTTGAGGCAGGCGGCGTGCCACTCGAGGTCTGGCGACACCCGCAGGATAAACTGATCGTGGATCTGACTCCCGCAGCCCACGCACATGGCCGTCCCGGGCTTCTCTGCCGGGGAAGGGCGCGGAGCCCGCGTCAGGCCTGGCTGCCCGGAACCCGGCCAAGGCCGCTCCAGCCCCAACCCAACCCGCTCGCGCTCTCTTTCAAGAACTGGGACCACAAGTTAAAAAGGAAATGGGCTTTGCAAAGGTCCAGATAATTGGAAACGAAAAAAACGAAAAAACACAATCTTCTGAATCTGTGAAGGCTTTTCGTCTCTCCCCACCCCCTCCTCAGTTTTTTTTTTTTTTACGGTATTACATTCACTTGGACACAGGCATTTTATTGATATGTCCTATAACTAAAAGCTAAGATGTAAGTGAGAAGAAAGAGCAAATAGACATTCAAGCCCTGCGGACGCCACCCCATCAATACTGAACGGTGATGTTCCGGCATTTCCGTCCACACACTCCCTCTCTCAGCGACTCCCTCCTATCCCAACACAGACACATCAGCTTTTAGCGGAGTCTCTGCTCATCCTCTTGGACATTTTTTAGCTTAAACATCCTAGATCAAGCTAAAGAAATCTTCCTTATTTGAAAGGCCGAAAGACAAGCAAGCAAGCAAACAAAAAACCCCCACATCCCTAAATCCAACTATTGCCCTAGCGCAAAACAGAAGCAGATTTCACAGCCCGAGGTCAGCCTAGCAGGCTTGAGAAAGAATGTTTAATTATAAACTAAAACAACAGGATTCCAAAGGATAAACGGTCCTGCAGGAAAATGAATTCGTTTTGATTTTTTTTCTCTCCCAGTGTCCTGTCAAATAGAAGCCACTTGTAGAATCCGCTAAACATTCTTCTGCATTAGAAATATTGCATATTAAGCGCACACACACACACCACACACATATACAGAGAAAGACTTACTCTTGGAATGATCCCCCATAGTACCCAGAAAAGGATAGTGAAAAATAATATCCACCATGCAGAAAAGAGATGTGCGCAAAGCGTGCGGCCAGGGGCAGAAGGACGAGGGTCGTGCGCCCAGCCTCGGTTCTTTGCTAACTAACTCCTGCCCCACGGAGTTGAAGGAGCGATTCCGCACCGGCCCGCACGCAGCATGACGTCAGCACGCACTCGCCCGTGGCTGGAGCTGGGGGCGGGACCTGTGGCGTCACGAAGCTTCCCCAGAATCGCGGGGGATGCGAGGGAGGTGTTAGGGACCTGGGGGCTGATGGGCGGGGTGGGCGGAAGGCGGGGGTGACAGGGGATTGGCTGGAAGGAAATAAGCCAGCCCTGATTGGGCCAGAGTGAACAATGGAGCGCGGCCCCCTCCCCGGAAACCTACAAGGATCCTCATTCTGGCCCCGGGTCGGGCTCTCCCGGCTGGATCTTGCGTCACTGCTGAGCTGTCTCCGAGATCGCTGCAGCTCTGAGCTTCCTCTTAGACTTACGGGGCGGTCTCCCCAGGCGTGCTCGAGCAGGGTGATGAATACCTGGGGGAGTAAAGGGCGGAGGTGTCTGTTTTAAATGCTCCTTTCTTTCATTAACAACAACAAAAAAATTCACCCTCTTGTGACGAGAGCTGGGGAGAAGGTGGTCTGTTTGGACGAGACCTTCACCGTCCAGCCGGTCAGCGTTCTTCTCTCAGACGCCTTTGTTCTCAGGTTCCAAGCTAAAGAGAGAGGTTAAGGGTTTGGGTAAACTCTGTTTAGACGTTCCCCACCCGTCCGCCTGCGGAAAACTCCCGAGTTGGAGCGTTATGTGGGTAGCACCAGAACGCAGAATCCGAAGACCCTCGCCGGATCCAGACTCCAGCCTTGACTTGCATTTGGGGCGGGGGTGTAATTTGACACGGACTCCCTCATTCTTTCCCCCACTCGAATAGCACAGCTCCTAGGAACAAGACTGGGGTCGAATGTGTGTCTCACTTCCAGAATAAACGATATTTATAAACTCTTCTGTTTTATCTCACAAACGAACTGCAATGCAAATAATTAGAAACAAATGTGGTGCGCAGGGTGATTTACTATCTGTGCAGTGGCTTGTCGTTCCTTAGAAAACCTGCGACTTCTGAGCAAAGTCCAGGCATTTCTTTCAAAGAAATTGCTGTGGGTTTTTTCTGAAAGGGTTCAAAGACTGGCCCATGAATTATAAATCACACTTACCCAACCAGGGTGGCTATTGTTTTTCCCATTAAAAAGTGTACCAAGGATTTGGTGTACGCTTGAGTGGGGCGCAGGTGGGCTCCTAGGCATAAAAATTCTCCACGGGAATCTCAGACCCGGCCCACGTCGGCCTGAGGGCACGGTGGAGCTCCACGGCCCTTCTGCTAAAAACGTAAGGCTTATCGGCCTCACTCTCTGGACTGCTTGCTGGGAAATGGGTGCAGTCAAGTATGCAGGGAGAGGCTTTGCGGAGAGCTGGGGCTAGACCCTCAGCGCACACTGAACTCAGTACCCGAGGACGGTCCCTGCACAGCCTGCGAGCGCCCCTCCGCCAGCCAGCGCTGTGCTGAGCGCTTCACGTAGTAGCCCCGTCGGGCTTGTAAGACTTTCAACCACCGCCACTACCTTTGGAACGTCTAGTCTTCTCACTGTCCGGTTCTTCAGCACAGCTTACCAGCTGCTGTGCCCACATGGCATTTCTTGAGTCTTTGACCACTTAGCGCCCCAAACAGCACTCACCCTTAGTGTATGTGGAGCACGTCGGGGTGGAGAGAATGCTGCGTTTGAATAACGTGTCTATGAAAATAAATGGGGTTGAGGAACGAGGCGGGTATGGGTGGATATGGCTGCACGTGGCAACTCTGTGATCTCAGGCATGTTATTTTACTTCCCTGACCTTCAGTTTCCTCATCTGTAAAATGGGGGAGGGGGGTAAAAATAGTTTCTACCTCTACTGTTGTAAGAATTATTCTCTGGAAAAGGCTTAGAACAACATCTGGCACATAGTGCAATACGTGGTAAATATGACACTTATCATTACGGTTTTATATTGGGAGTCTCTGTACACCGTGCCTTACCTGTTCGCGGTGCCTGCCTGCCTCTGGGTGTGGAGGGGAAGTCTAAGTGTATCTGTGTGTATGTGTCATCTGATGGTTTCTTTGTGTATTTCCATGTATGCTTGTTCTGTGTGTCTCTTCTGTGGGGATGGAGTCTCAGAAAGTGTGGTCTGAGTGAGGAGTTTGTGTACAGATAATGTCTGTGTAGTTGGGCACAGTCTCAGAACAGGGAGGCCATATGTGGTAGGTAGGTACCCTTCTGTAGTGAACGAAAAAGGTGCTCTTGGCTGGTTGTCCTCCCTCCCCAGGCACTCTGTGCCTGGCCAAACTTTCAGCTCCCAACTACGAGCAAGCATATCAATTAACTCAATGACTCAGGCAGCCAGGAGGGGGCGGCTCTGGGCTGGAATCCTAGGTCTAGGCTGTTGAGCTCTTGAGCCAGAAATTCCTCCTACAACCTAGAAAAAAACAATTGTTTGAGACCTTATTAGGGAAGGGGGTGTTGTGGGGGCCGTGGGCAAGAGTGGGAAGGAGGGGAGGTGTTGAGGGGGCAGTAGGGTGAGTAGTTGATCTCTCCTGGGATGTCAGGTAGCCAGGTCATAAACCAGTATTCTTTCAGTCTTCATCATGTGCTAATACCCTGTTATTAGCCTATTAGGTCTTTACAGCAATGTGATGAGGTGGGTGGGCCTCCCAGGGGCTCTAGTGGTAAAGAACACACCTGCCAATGCAAAAGGACACAAGAGAGGCGGGTTCAATCCCTGGGTGGGGAAAATCTCCTGGAGGAGGGCATGGCAACCCACTCCAGTATTCTTGCCTGGAGAATCCCATGGACAGAGAAGCCTGGTGGGCTGCAGTCCATAGGGTCACAAAGAATCAGATATGACCAAAGTGACTTAGCACACATGCACATGAAGAGGTGGGTAGTGTTAGATTCCTTCAATCCCTGAGGAAACTGAAACTTAGGGAGGTGACATGATTGCTTCTGGTCACAGGATAAATCAGAGCTGGCATTCACAGCAGGTCTGCCTGGCTCCATAGGCTTTGCTGCTTCCACTGTTGTCGAAGACCCACATGAGTGTGGTTCCATCTGTCACCAGCTTCACTTCTCTGGAGCTAGAAAATCAAGGACTGTTTTCAAGACCCCTCCATGTGGGTCTCCTGGGTCTCAGCCATCCTTGAGAGTGAGCACAAGAGTGACAGAAGCAAAAATCCTCTCCCCCTAGCACAGCCACAAGGTCCATTGATCTGAGCCTGCCTTGGGTATCTGCTTCCCAGATACTCCCACGGGCCCCTTCTCCATGTCCCAGACTACAGGGCACAGGAGATCTGGGGACCCTCCTTTTCTGGGCTTTAGAGCACTCTGTACCCTTACAGGGAATAGCAGCTTGAGCTCCAGAGCTCTATATATTCCATAAAACTAGCCCCGGCTATGACCCTCCTCCTGGGAAGATTCTGGAAGCACAGAGAAGTCTCTCTGGATTCCTTCTCCCCAGACCTCCCCCACCCCACTATTGCTGCCTTAAACTCTACTCACAATTCCCCTAAAAGATAGGCTTACTGTACAGAAATCCTTGAGAAAGCACAGAACAGGTGGTCACTCACAATACAGGTACATCAGCTCCTACCCTGAAAGCAAAACCTGAAAGAAAGAGCAGGAAGGAATCGGGCAGGGGGGCTGGGGCCTGGGAGCAGAGATCACAAAGCAGGCTTTATTATCTCACAGTTTTGCTTAGTCAAGCCTCCCTTCTTTCCTTCTAGAACTCGTGAATCAAAAAGCTGCAAGACCCTTTGGAGACTTTCTCTTTCAGGCCTTTCTCTGACAGAGAGAAAACTGCAGACCAGAGAGGTGGTCATCCTTGCCTGGCCTCCTCCTCCTCAAGCACAGAGCTCACAGACAGCTCCTACAGGCCTGCACATGCACACACACTCCACTTCCTTCCCCGCTAACTGCCTTCCTGTTCTTACCCACTCAGGTGACATTTACCTGCCACGAGATGTTTTGTCTCCTATTCATCATCATGGAACCACATATATGGGGAAGAATGGGGGGCTTAACCTTCATGTTCAGAATCATCGTCATCATAGCTAACATACAGGACTCTAACTTGGAGCCACCTTCATGCACAGCACTCCCCATGTGTCACTACAATTCTAGGAAGGAGTTACTATTGTTAAAATTATCCCTGTGTCTGGGACGTCCCTGGTGGTCCAATGATTAAGAATCTACCTTGCAATGCAGGGGATGTGGTTTGATCCCTGGTTAGGGACCTAGGATTCCACATGCCACAGAGCAACTGAGTCTACACTGCAACTACTGAGCCCTCATGCCACAGCTAGAAAGTCCGTGCGCTGCAACGGAAGACCCTGCAGGATGCAGCGAAAATCTTGCATGCTGCAACTAAGATCCAATGCAGCCATGTAAATAAAATTATCCCTGTTTCACAGATGAGGACCTTGAAGCTTGGCGATATTAGGGAATTTGTTCCAGGTTCCATAGCTGGTGGTGCCAGGGTTTGAACCAGACTCTCTGCCCCCTGACTTGCTGGTAGTATCGTTACCCTATATGGGCTCCGAATCACTCACAAAGGGCACGTCACAGACACACTGTCCACCCAACACAAAGGAAGCTGTTGCTCTTGATGGGAGCATTAATCCCACTGTGAGTATCAGAGAGGAAACTGGAGGCCGATGACCTGTCTTCCAGCATGTAAGTGACAGAAATAAGCCAGGTCCCTTGACCCAGGCCAGGGGTCTTCCTGCTGGAGTTCTTTGGGATGGGATTTCTCTTTGCCCACCTGAGGACTCGGGCTCTCCTCTGGCTCCTGCCTCCATCCCCTTCCCAGCTCACACCCTTGTCTCCAAAGGCAGTTGGAGACATTGTACAGAGGAGGCCAGAAGGGGTCTCAGCACCCACATCATCACCACCATAGGCTTCTGAGAGCTCGATTTCGGGGGGAGTTGGGCACCATGTTTCAGAC